TTAGTTGGTGATTTTGAAATCCACTACAAGATTGCTGTGCCCATGTTTTTCATGGCTATAGATCTACCACAGAATTTCGACCCTTTGTTGAATAAAATGATTTACAAGACAGAAGCATTGTCCAATAGATCCTTCGATTTCTACTCTGCTCAAGTACCTGCAGTGTACCCCTGGATTATTTCCACCGAGTCTGATTTTGTGAAGTTGATTAGGCTCATGGCGGCAGGTGACCCTCTTCTGATGGAACTTTTCTAAAATAAACTAATGTTCCATCCAAAATCGTGCACAGGAAGGCACATAGATACTATCATTCTCAGAAATATTACTGTCTTTATCATTCAAAATCTGTATATTCATCTTGTATCAAACATCTACCTGTTGTATTCTTTCGGAATTCATTTCTACGTTTAAATGACAGATTGCAGATAAAAAAGATGAACACAAGGTTGTTGCATTATTTGTTCTTGGAGCATTGCTGCACGCCCAGGCTCAAAGCCTGACCCCCCTCCAATAGGGGGGCGCCACTTGGCCCCCCTGTTTTTAGCCCTGGCTTTGAGCCTGGGCAATAAGTGTTTTTCTTGTTCTTGTGCTGCCCTGTAATTTTACTTTCTGTTCACGTGGGGTGAGGACTTGGCTTGCAGAGAAGGAAGAAAAGGCGTGCCAGTCGAGCCCTGGGTTTTCCATTCCAGGACTAGTTACAAAACCATTTTGATAGTGAATTGAATTGGATCTAGATGTCCATTTGATGCAGTGTCAATATATTCCAAGAGCAAAATAGTTCAAGAAACATAGATTTATGGTGCAAATTTCTTGAATTTTATTTACTTGCACAAATGAAGAAGGTTAACAATTTCACACGATCGTCTACACAACAAACACCCCGTGTTTTAAGTGAAATATTTCTGATACAGAACAGATGCAGATCCTTCGTAATAACAAGGGCATAGCCCTGAGCTTTTACTGGTTAAAGTTCCTGACCTGCTTGCCACTTGTTCGAGAATGTGATCCACACTTTTCTCCCATACCTCCAACTTGAAGTCCTTTTTTTCTTTCAAGCTTTTCAACGAACGTGTGAACTACGTTAATGCCTGTTGAAGATTATATCCGTAACAAGAGTCCATCCAAAATTCATTTGCTGAAGCACACAACCAAATAAGAATACTCGAAACAAATCTGAAAAAGAAAGGCAAAAAAGTGAATGACATTGAAGCTAGTTTCCCATAGTCATGAAGTTGGCTCTGAACATCCTTGGATGCTACAAGAGCCTTGCTTGAGGTACAAGGGTTCTTTTCACAAAACCCCTACAGGTACTCACAGCATGGGTGGGATGGGTGAGGTTTTTGTCATTTTTTTATACAAGTGAGTCCCATGCGGGACCCACCTACTGTGAGTATCCTATTCACAGAACCCCCGTACATTGAGTAAAATCTTGATGTGTTAATTATACCATATTGTCACTTGCGTCCTTGCATTCCTCTGGTACTAAATCAATTATAACACTTGATTACAATACTGATTGCAGAGATTAGTATCTTTAATATCGAAAAGGTCATGGTTTTCTTATTATAAACAAAGTCGAAGTATATTGTCCCGAAAAAATAATGGTGAACTAAGTTGAGTTAAATAAAGTAATTGACTCAACTCAATTTGAAAAAGGAAGCATCCCTACTATATAAAAAGGTTAATGTGTTGCTACTGTAGAAAGAACAATAGATTCTTCTATTTCTACACACTGTCACTTTTTTTTCCTTGAGTAAAAATGACAAAAAAATATATATATATATATATATGAGCTACCCACTTTATTAGATAGATTTTTCTTTCTTCTTCTCCATTTTCACACGCTACTCCTTTTTCTATTTGAGTTTCATTGTTTCCTTTCTTTTTTCCATGTATTTATGATATTTCTGTTTCAATTATATTTGGGATATCTGTATTTTGTGCTTCAATCAATGTGCTTATATTGTATTTGTTCTCTTTGTGCTTATATTGTATATTTGTTCTCTTTGTTTGTTCGATCGTTGACGCATGTTCTTTCGGCCTTATTTTAGTTTGCAGGTAGTGGTGGAGAATGTTTTCAACTTCTCTTTAGTTTGTGGTAGCAGTAATATCTAGAGGTTTTTTCTGCGATAATTAATGAGGGGGAAATCTACTTTCATATGATTTGATTTTTCATTTTTCTTGTATAGTGTTGAACTTCGATGTTGATATTGATTTGTTTTACACGAACTCTAGAGTAAACTGGTAAATAAGAGAGTAAATAGAATTGGACGTGGAAATAACAAAATGAAAATACATGAAAATTATTAGAAGAAAGTAAAGAGGTCTCATAGACGTGTCAAACTTCCACCAACATGGTCTTTTTTGTAGACGATGAACGTTGGGGTTTCACCGTTCGAAAGCACATGTATCGCCCATTTGTAGTTATTTTTCTCTAAAAAAATATGCACAACCTATAGTCATACGTCTTATTAGACCATTTGGTTGCAAATTTGTGGCGAGCTCCCAATCGTGATGTAAAGAATCATGGATTTGAGCACTTCGCAGACCTCTTGGTAGGTGATATCTAGAGAACTGTCCTGGTATATCCTGGAAAACCATGAATGAATAAATTATTGTTCTTTGAATCAAATTTATGTGGAAAAGATGAATGTAGAATGAGATATTAAAGATGACACTTACAATTTCCCGAGGGCTGTTGTGATGAGGTGTTAGTGTTATTTCAAATGCAGGGTTATCTGTATGTGAAGCGTTGTATTCTTTGGGAACATCGGAGTCATATGTGACCTCTAATCCAGAATGGTCAAATATGGTCATATTGAATGTGAATCTTCCGTTATATTCAAATACCAAAACATCAGCATCTTGTAAGTTACAAAAAAATTGTTCCCATCCATCGGCAAAAAAGATTCTTCCATTATCTCTTTCCAATCGTATTGTGACAATTATACCATCATATGCAGTTATGCGTACTGTGTCACCAAGTTGGTGTCTCCAATCGTTGATAAAGGATCTGGGAAGCATCTATACATATATNTATATAAGAGATATTAAGAATGCATCCATTCAAATGTGAGAGGAGAAACTCTTGTGTGACTAACCAGACGGGTATTATGGTTCTGTGGAAGAGTAATGATCCTGAAGAAACGATGTGGCACCTCCATTCTGTCTCAATATAGTACAATGAAAATTTTGTTAGAATAACTCTATTATTTATGTTGTGGAGGCCCTAATACAGATTTTAAGGTAGATTTTGCAGTATAGGCGAGTTAGAAAATTTGTTAATGGAAGTTCCATGTCTATAAGATAAACTTTGTATGTGATCTAAAAAAAAATATATTCTATATGTTGTTGTAGAACGATATCATGAAGTTTGGTAAGAAATTCATGATTTGCGTTCGATTTTTAATAAAAGAGAATTGAAGATTGACATTTAGTCCATCTCAATAAGCAAGATGTAAGTTAAAACTGTAAAATTTAATGTCGAAAAAATAGCTATGGTAATCAGGAAAGAGTAGTTAAACACCTGATTTTCTTTTTGTTGAGCACCTGCAAGCAAAGATATGTAAATATTTTGTGTGAGGAGTGATTTAAGGTAAATTTTGAAAACATGAGAAGCTATTTAAATTAGAGGGTAGGTACTTCCTATGTTATTTCCTTTTCTCCAGATTTGACAAGAGGTTCACGGGTTGTAGAAATGGACAATATGTTACCAAAAAAACCTGATCTTGCTCTTTCCAAAAATAAAAGTGAGGAGAAATAAATTATTGATGTATCACGTGAGTGACTATTTTATCTTAATACATTTCACACATTATTTGATTGCAATCAAAAGGTTACGATTGGAAATGTAATTAATATGTAATATGTTTATTATTTATCTACATTTTTACTCATTGGATTTATATAATATTTGTATATATAAAAAAAATGAATTATATTTTATGTATTTATTTTAGGAATCACATCTATTAAAAAAACTAAGTTGATTAAATGAAATTAAATTTTGATGCTGAAAGTTAGTAAAGAAAAAAAGGGAGGGAAAAAATGAAATTTGTTAATTACGAAAGCAATTTGGTGCCTAGAAAGTTTGAGCCTCCGTGATTACGGAGGCTCAATGTGCCTCTGTATCACTACGGAGGCTCAACTTTGAGCCTCCGTAATTATGGAGGCTTTGCCTTTTGAGCCTCCGTGATTATGGAGACATTATTTCCTCCCCTCCCCTCTTTTTTTCTTAGCTGTTATTACAACAAATACTTCAATATTATTTTTTTTGTTTTGTCGAACGTAAATTTATTATTTTATATGGAGTTATCTTTTAGTTTAAACATGAGTTTCTTATTTTGTATGGAATTTAACTAATAGTCGGACTTTCTTAACGTTATTTTTAAATTTTTGCAATTTCTATTTATGTGATGATAAAAATTTATAATATATAATATAAAAATATAAAAATGAATAAGTATATTTAGTTTTTTTTTCTTCCAACTACAATACTTAAGTGAGTATAATTTATTCATTTCCCTGTCTATGTCATTTTCATTTTACATTTTGAACGAAAACGTCGTTATTTTCGTTTCGTTCTTGCAAGCACCTTGTCTTTGTCCTTATTTTAATCGTTGTCCTTATTTTCATCGTGCATTTCCCATCCCTCCCATCCTTTTGATTTCTCACTGTCTTCAATTGCGTGTATATTTTATTCAACAATATTTAATCCAACGATAGACTTGTTGTTGTTGGTGGGTTTTCTTTTTTTTTTTCGATATATTTCCTATTGTTCGGATCATGGAAATGTATGCACTTTTTTGGCTTCTTTTATATGAGGATATTGTTTTGTGCATACTCTTAGTTATGTTTCCAATTTTATTGAGTCGATTTTTGTAGTTTCTTTCTTTCAGCAATACAATGAGTAAGCAATATTGACACCTACATCTGTATAGCTTCAAGTTCTTGAATCTATATTTAATCAAGAGAATAAAACCCCAAACAAGTCAAGGATCATGCAGATAGTCTCCGAACTACCGTTGCATGGGCAAATCTCCGATATGAATGTTTATAATTGGTTTAAGAGTAGACGTGCTCGTTTAAGAAGGCTTGACATATCCACACAGGCACGTGATTCTAAACTTGTAATTCAGCCAAGGGTACAAAAAGACAAATTGCGTAAGAGACATATAGGTACGATTTGTTGTTTAAATGTGATTTCTTATTGGTTTAATATTTTTTACGTAATTTTAACATAAATATTTGGTATTATAGAAGTATCTACAAGTTCTACACATATGCCAGGAAGAAGGATGAGATGTTATCCTAAATTCACAGCAGGTTTCATAGATTGAATATGTTTTTTTATAATTTTTTTTTGCATCCGGCTATTTATTTGTTCATGTTTTAGTACGCTTTTCTTTCATCTTGTTTTTGTGAAACTATTTTTTAATCCAATTTTTACAGTTTTGTTGTCTTTCAGCGATCTTATACTAATTTTATGATTGTAGATTCTATTGATCATGTTGAATTACAAAAGGATCTTCAAGTTGATGAAAACATTGGCGTGGAAAAACAATTTGAAGATGACAATATGCAATCTCAATGTGGTTCACATGATCCTATCATTTTAGATCGTTCTAAGAGAATTGATATACGAAATATTCCAATCGAACCTTATATTCTTCCGTCTTGTACAATTTGTAAATATTATGGTGCAAAAAAATTTTACAAAGAAAGTAAGGATTTTTGTTGTTGTGATGGAAAGGTTAAATTACAGTTGAACAGTGTTGCCCCTGAATTGTATGAGCTATTTACTTCTAATTCATGTGAAGCGATTGCTTTTAAAAAAGTTGCTCGTACATACAACAACCATTTTGCATTCACTTCATTTGGTGTTAAATATGATAAAAATTTGTGCAAAAATAATAGAGGTGTATATACATTCAAAGTTCAAGGACAGGTATACCATTTTATAAATCCGCTTCTACCAACTGATGGAAATCCTACATATTTGCAGTTATACTTTTACGATACTTACAATGAAATTAGTAATAGACTACAAATTTCAGATAGGTTAAGTGAATCAACTTTGAAAAAGTTAATAGATATCTTAAAGATAAATCCATATTGTCGTTTCTTTCGATCATTAAGTGAAGTTTCTGATTTTGATTCATGTTGTATCGTACTGGGGTCTGATCCGGGTCTCAACCAGAGAGTATATAACATGCCATCATGTGAACAGGTGGCTGCAGTGTGGGTTGATGATGATCCATCTGCAAACATAAAGACTCGTGATATATTAATTTATGGACATTCCAATACTGCACATAGAGTAAATTACTATTATGGCTGTTATGATCCACTTCAATATCCATTAATATTTACCTATGGAGAAGCTGGATGGCATGAATGTATCGAAAAGGTAAATTTGAATACTTCAATAGTCCATGAAGATTTCATACAAATCAATCAAATTGATTCGGCCGAACAATTTATAGAGATAGAAGATCGTGGTAAGTTTTATTACCATTGAAATTTTTTAATATTTTTAGAGTGCATAAATGTATTGTCATTTCTAGATCTGTCTTTGTGACTTTAATTTTTTTTCCCTTTCAGCTATGAAGAGACGTAAGAAACGAATTACTGTGTCATGCCGTGAATATTATTGCTACAAACTTCAAATCAGACTTTCAGATAAGTCTGTACTCCTTCATACAGGCAGACTTCTACAACAATATATAGTGGATATGTATGTTAAGATTGAAATTGCGAGATTAGATTATTTTCGTAATAATCAAAAGATCATACGAGGTGAACTTCACCTAGGAATTTTAGATAGTATACAAAATAGTGAGAATAGAGGCTATAAAATTGGCAAATCAATTGTGTTGCCTATAGGGTTTATTGGGGGTCCTAGAAATTTAACTAAAAGATATATGGACGCAATGTGTTTAGTTCAAAGATATGGAAAACCTGATGTATTTTTAACAATAACATGCAATCCAAATTGGTCTGAGATTAAACAAGAATTGAGGCACAATGATAGTGTACAAAATAGGCCAGATTTGTTATCCCGAATATTTCGAGCAAAACTTGAAGAACTAAAAATAGATTTAATAAAGAGAGAAATTCTAGGGCCTATAGCTGCCTATGTGTATGCAATCGAATTCCAAAAAAGAGGTCTACCTCATGTTCATTTTCTGTTGATATTTAAAATGAATTTTAAGGTTACTAATTCTACGCAAATTGATGAAATTGTTTCTTGTGAAATACTAGATCCAAAGAGAAATCCTCACCTGCATGCTACTGTGGTCAAACATATGATGCATGGTCCTTGTGAACAATTAAATCCTACAAATGTGTGCATGAAAAATAACCGTACTTGTAAAAACAAGTATCCAAGAGAATACATTTTGCATACTTCATTAGGTAATGATTCATATCCACTTTATAGGCGTCGTGACGATGGTCTTACTGTTAAGGTCAGAGGGTCTGTACTAGACAATAGATGGATTGTACCATATAATCCTTATATTTTAGCTAAGTATGATTGTCACACTAATGTTGAAATATGTTCTTCTGTTAAAGTAGTCAAATATTTATACAAATATGTATACAAAGGACATGATCGTGTTAATTTTACGGTGAATAAAGAAACTAATGAGCATTATATTGATGAGATTTCGAATTATCAAACCGCTAGATGGATATTTGCACCAGAAGCTATATGGAGAATTTTTAGTTTTGATTTATTCGACATATCTCCTTCTATAGTTTCGTTGCAGTTACATATTGAAGATGCTCAGTTGGTTACATATAATGAAACAGATGATCTATCAGAAGTTATAAATAAAGACTCCATTCAACGAACAATGTTAACTGAATTTTTTCGAATGAATATTTCAAATGAAAAGGCACGAACTTTACTTTATAAGGATTTTCCTACATACTTTGTATGGAATACATATTTTCGAGTTTGGAGTCCTAGAAAGAAGTAAAATGTTATTGGTAGAATAGTTGCTGCTAATCCATCTGAGGGCGAGAGATACTTTCTAAGAGTTTTATTGAATCATGTTAAAGGGCCTAAGTCTTTTCAAGATTTAAGAACAGTTAATAACATTGTTGTGCCTACTTATCACGAAGCTGCATTTTTACATGGTCTCATAGGGGGGAATAATTATTGTGAAATGTGTTTAAATGAGGCGATCACCTATGATATGCCTATATCATTGCGTCGCCTCTTTGCTAATGTGTTGATTTTTTGCAGCCCTGCAAATCCTAGAAATTTATGGGTTAAATTTAAAGTGTACATGATAGAAGATTTTTTACATGCAAGCATGACAGTATGTGATGCCGAGATTAGGGTTTTGAGATGCATAAATTCATTCTTAGAAGTTTTTGGTACAAACATAAATAATTTTGGTCTGGTAGATTTTGACGTAATTGTGAATAATGCTGATGCGTTAGCAAACATGATTTTAAAAGAGACTACAAATATTAATATTCAGTCTGACATGTATTTTAAAGAAAATTTAAATAAGGAACAACAATATGCCTATGATGTTATTTTAGACTGTGTTGAAAATACTAAAAATGGAGTTTTTTTATTAATGGTCCAGGAGGTACTAGAAAAACTTTTCTGTACAAGGCATTACTTGCTGCAGTACGATCTCGACAACTTATTGCATTAGCAACAGCGTCATCGGGAGTGGCTGCTTCTTTATTGCCAGCTGGGAGAACTGGTGATTCACTTTTTAAAATCTCACTTCAAGCACGTTCTGATATGCGATGTTCAGTAAGTAAACAATCATCATTTGGTCAACTTTTACAAATGACAAAGCTAATTGTGTGGGATGAAGCACTGATGATTAATAGATGTGCTTTTGAAACTTTGGATAAAATGTTAAAAGATATTACTGAATGTGAATTGCCATTTGATGGAAAGGTTGTTGTGTTCGGAGGAGATTTTCGACAAGTGTTGCCAGTAGTACAAAGATGAACAAAAGATGATATCATGAAGGTCAGTTTAGTATTTTAAGATTTATGGCAATATTTTATACAACTACCATTGACTGAGAATATGAGAGCTAAATTAGATCCTTTGTTCTGTAAATATTTACTTAGAATTGGAAATGAAATAGAAAGAGAACATACATGTCACATGATTAAACTTCCTTCAGATATAATAATAGATTTTGAGAGTGAATTTGAATCATTGAAAAAACTAATTGCTATTGTGTTTCCTAATTTTCATACATATGGTGACAATTTGAATACTATGATGAACAAAGTTATTTTGACTCAAAAATGAACATGTGGATGTAATAAATAATATGTTCGTAAAAAAATTTCTAGGAGAGATATTTACATATTTTAGTTTTGATGAAGTAATTGATAAAACAGAAGAATTTATTCATGAGGACTTTTTGAATAGTCTAACTCCAAATGGTATCCCTCCATATGAAATTGTACTAAAAAGAAATTGTCCTGTTATGTTGTTTAGAAACATTAATCCTTCAGAAGGTTTGTGTAATGGAACTAGACTTATTTGTCGAGAATTTAAACGAAATGTTATTTTAGTCGAAATTGGAATAGGCGAATATCGTGGAAAACAAGTATTTTTACCTAGAATTCCATTTATTCCACTTGAAGGAGATAAGTATTCGGTACCATTTAAGAAAACTCAATTTCCTATTCGTCCTTGTTTTGCAATGACCATTAACAAAGCTCAAGGTCAAACTTTAGATTTTGTTGGACTATATTTGCCTGAACCTGTTTTCTCGCATGGTCAATTATATATCGCTTTATCTAGAGCAAGAACAAGAGAAAACATAAAAGATCTAATAAAACCAGTGGATGAAATAAAATCACACAATTATTGCACAAAAAATGTAGTCTATCTTGAAATTTTGAATTTGATACATACTACTTAAGAAGTCTATAATTACAAGTTTTGCTTAATTGGACTGCCAATCTATTGTTAGCCTAAAAGAGGATATTTTCTCTGCTAATCCATCTTATGTCAAGGAGAATAACATTGAGCTATACAAGGTTAGTTATTTTTACATGTTATTATGCGTTTCAATTATACTTTACTTGTTAGTACGAAACATGGTACATATAAAAGAGTCAGGTCATAATCTTTAAACATGTCCTTCATAATATTCCATATTCAACATCTCTTTATTTATTTAGGTCGCTGATAAGATATGAGAAGAAAGGATAAAAAACACAAGTTTATTACATAATATTTCAATCAATATATTTTGATTATCTACTACAATTAGGACTTGCGAGGATGAAGAAAGTATTCGTTATTACAGATATCTACCGCAATCTTTCGTCTATATATGCTCATCCTATCCGACGAAACTGATTCAATTGGATATCCCAAAACAAAGCATTCTATATATTTGAGCATGAAAAGTCCACAATTAGGCACTAAGTTTAGGAAATTAAATATTTTGCTAAAAAACAAGCAACTTAAATGCTTATCCATTGTTTGCACAGTTTAGGTAAGGTATGATCTCCTCTTTCATTTGTTTATTCCTATGTTTCTTTATATCTCCTCTAGAAGATAAAGTTGTTTTCAATAGTGCTTCTACCACAGTTAATGAAGCTTTTGTATGTGCTTTTACTTGATCTGGTGTGTGGACATTATTGCTGCAATCATATATTTGGAATTTCCATTCAAAAATATTGACAACGAAAAGGTACCAGCTATTGCCCGGATATGAGCACGGAATTAATATATACTTGCATGTCCTCCAAAGACGACCAAATATAGGTGCTATGTCATTCATATAACTTTCCATAAGAGTTCCATCTGCTTCACCTCTTGTGGTTCCCATTCCTGTGTCAGTATGCCATATCATTTGACGAGCACATTCTGCTTCAAATTTGAAATCCATAATTGCATATTCTTTTGAAACAAGCGGACAACCATCATTCATGAGCCGCCTCAATAGTTTTAATTCTAACTCAATGTTTTGATTAAATAAATAGATATAAATTAGATTATATATATCGACTATGAAATAAAATCTATTGTAATTCATATACTTTACTTACAGCAATATTTATGTCCTGTGTTTGATCCATTAGAGTTTTCAACATGTCTCTTCCAAAAACATTGTTACTGCCATCGTCCAAGTATGCACTGTATGACATAATTTTAATTAATTTCAAATAAATCAAAAGAGAACTTGAAGATTTGAGCTAATACAAGTAAAATTAGATTTATTACCCAGATTGATTCTCCGCTATAAAATTTCTAATTTTTACGTATCTTTGCATAGGATAATCTTCTAGAGGACGATCTGAAGATGATGAAGATTTTATTTGTTTCCCCTTGTTTTTCTTCTCTTTTATCAACCGTTTAGAGCTCTCAATTTGTTCAGCTGTTGATATCTCATTTGGTTTATCGCAAGGAACAACACTTGTATCGAGAGGGGCATCTTGTTGCATGGAACCTATGATGGCTTCCATGTTTGATTTCCATTCAGATAACGTGTTCAGTGTTTCCTGATTTTGTTCGTCGACATAGGATCTTATTGAACTTAAACTGGTATCAATATAAGATTGCACACCCTGATATCTCTCTTCCTGCCACTTCTGTTGCTGTTCAAAAAATTGCCTTTGATTGTCAAGAATTATCTGATAATGATGTTGCATGAATCTTCTTGCCATTTTTTTGCTCCTCAAATAACTGTTTTTGGTTTTCAAGAATCGCATGGTGGTGAGCTCTTGATTCATCAGCAAATTCTGCCTTCAAGTTGCTATATACATCAGACACGTCTGATGCTATTTGTTGCCTGTAGATACCCAACAATTCTTCCATTTTATCTTCACTTAAGAAGTTGGAGTTACTGGGAACAGAGCTAGACCCAAATATAGGTGAAGATGTAGAAGTACCGGGAATCGTCGTTTCTTGCACTTGTATATTGTCCGGAATTTATTTTACTGCACTATCCAATACTCCATTTACAATCTCATATAATCTGCTGTGTCCATTATCCACTGGCAATGAAAGAGTTTCGTACCAAAGACATTATAATTCTTCTTCATTAGGTTGTAGCACAGCAATCACTTGAATCTGTAATCAAATGGAAATATCAAAATCGTTTATTTTGAGTTTAATTTTATTTAAAGATAATTGAATGTGAGAGTAATTGTACATTCATAAAAACATACCTCATGAGTAGACAAAAAAAGATTTATCTCTTTTTCAGTTACAAATTGGTTGGGTTTCCACTTGTATATTCTTGGACACTGTGATTTTTTATGTCTACGATGTCCAAATTTCTTTCCAATTTTTGGAAATATTTCATATATCCAATACTGTAAAATAATAAAAAATAAACATTATATGTATAAAAAAATTTATGGGAATATATTGTACATAATAAATCAATACAAAAATAGGGACTAATTACCTGGAATGCAAGTGAATACCCATGTAACGCGTACTCGCATTCTGTTTGTTCATTCCGTTGCAACCTTTGTATTCTTTCAGATTATGATGCTTTCAATGAATATAACAAGATCAAATATGCTTTGCGACCTCATGGATATGCAGTGAACTCATCCAGATGTTCAACCATACCAAGAGTTCTATAATCAATTTGTCTTGAAGAGGGTGTCAACACACATTCGATCAACATGACTAAACCAAGTTTCAATTTATCTTCTTCATGTTCACACGCATGGAATGCTTCATAAAGCATCTTCATACTGATTCGATATGTACCATTAAAGTATTGATTTCTAAGACGATCATTTGTATCATTAATGTCCTTGGATGGTTCATGGCAAGGTAATCTAGTAATAAGACAGAATTCTTGCATACCAAATTTGGCTACACGATCATCTAACCTTACCCAAATTTCATCATTTTTCCCACAATTCACAAGCCTCAATATAAATTAATGCACCAACCTACTACTAAATTGTACATTTTTTTTCCTTTGTAGAAAGCTCCATAAAGAAAACCATAAAATTACTACACATCAACGAAAATTGCTCATTCGAATCTAAAAATTTTACAAAGTCTTTAAGATATTCGAAATTTGGATACTGGACAATTGTAGCAGAAACCATTGATCCGGAGAAATTATGTATTCTAGAGACATCTACATAAATTATTCCAAAGATCACATCTTATTTATGAATGAATCTAAAAATTAAAAATAGAGAAACATTTATGAATGAATCTAAAACTTCCGTGATTATGGAGGCCAAGATTTTCAGTATGTATATAGGTGCTAAAAATGCTGAAAAACAATATGAAAGTGACAAAAATTCAAACATTTATGATATTATGTACATGGTCTCTAAGAAATTAATGTGAACATTTTTTGTTAACAGTGAAAATTTCTACTCTTTGGGTTCAAACAATTGACTCAAGTGACTCAAGTAAACATGATAGAACCATCAAATCTTCTATATGAATCCTCACTATATTTGGTATACTTTGGATTTTTCTATCACTTTCATATTGTTTTTCAGCATTTTTAGCACCTATATCCATACTGAAAATCTGTTGCCTACACAAGAAACCAAGCCTCCACAGCCTGACCTTCGTAATGCCTCCGGATTACGGAGGCCAACATTGGCCTCCGTAATAATGGAGACCCATTAAAGTATGGGTCTCCATAATCACGGAGTTCTTATGGGCACCATACGCAGATCACTTCGATTGTAAATTTTTAAGTAAAATTGTTACCTTTTTCGGCCAATTTCAGATCTTCTCCAGTTTAAATCTGCTGGGAGTTTCTCTCTTGAAAATGTAGAGATTTTTGGGACTAAAAGTATAATAAATGAGCATATACCAACCACAAGATAAAAGGCTGTCACATATGAGCTGTATGTTATTGTTGTTGTATGCATTTGGTCAACAATCAATAAAATATTTTTGTTGTGTTATGAAATACAAACTATTCACACATTTTATAAAATCTGAAATATACGTCTTTGTTTGAATTGTTTAATTTCATACAC